CAGTTGCGTAGGTACACACATGGCAGTGTGCTTTGCTTTTCTTCTCCCCTTCACCCACATTTGGCATTTCTCCCCAGGCTATCCCTCCCCACCTCCCCCTCCCACTGGCCCTCCCCTTTTCCCCCCAATAGACCCCAGTGTTTAGTACTCCCCTTTCTGTGTCCATGTGTTCTCATTTTTCATCACCCACCTATGAGTGAGAATATGCGGTGTTTCATTTTCTGTTCTTGTGTCAGTTTGCTGAGGATGATGTTCTCCAGATTCATCCATGTCCCTACAAACGACACAAACTCATCATTTCTGATTGCTGCATAATATTCCATGGTGTATATGTGCCACATTTTTCCAATCCAGTCTATTATCAATGGGTATTTGGGTTGATTCCAGGTCTTTGCTATTGTAAACAGTGCTGCAATGAACATTCGTGTACATGTGTCCTTGTAGTAGAACGATTTATAGTCTTTTGGATATATACCCAGTAATGGGATTGCTGGGTCAAATGGAATTTCTATTTCTAAGGCCTTGAGGAATCGCCACACTGTCTTCCACAATGGTTGAACTAATTTACACTCCCACCAACAGTGTAGAAGTGTTTCTTTTTCTCCACATCCTCTCCAGCATCTGTTGTCTCCAGATTTTTTAATGATCGCCATTCTAACTGGCGTGAGATGGTATCTCAATGTGGTTTTGATTTGCATCTCTCTGATGACCAGTGACGATGAGCATTTTTTCATATGATTGTTGGCCTCATATATGTCTTCTTTCATAAAGTGTCTGTTCATATCCTTTGCCCACTTTTGAATGGGCTTGTTTGTTTTTTTCCTGTAAATCTGTTTGAGTTCTTTGTAAATTCTGGATATCAGCCCTTTGTCAGATGGGTAGACTGCGAAAATTTTTTCCCATTCTGTTGGTTGCTGATCCACTCTAGTGACTGTTTCTTTTGCCGTGCAGAAGCTGTGGAGTTTGATTAGGTCCCATTTGTCTATTTTGGCTTTTGTTGCCAATGCTTTTGGTGTTTTGTTCATAAGGTCCTTGCCTACTCCTATGTCCTGGATAGTTTTGCCTAGATTTCCTTCTAGGGTTTTGTAAAATGTTTTTAAAATTAGAAGTACCCTTCAATGGTTGGGACATATATTTTTTTAATTTACTTAACTTTTGAAAGAAATTAAAATATTTTGTTTCATCATCTATTAAGACCTTTCTTTGCCTCGGTTTTTCTCCTTGTGAAGTGGGAATAGAGCTCATCATTATTAAGATGAATGTTTGAAACAGTATTCATAGGGTCTTCCTGTATGGCTCAGGCTGCTGGAATGCAGTGGTGTGATCATAGCTCACTGCAGCCTCTACCTTCTGGGCTTAAGTGATCCTCCCACCTCAGCCTCCTGAGCAGCTGGGACCACAGGCATGCACCACCATGACCAGCTATGTATTTTTATTTTTTATAGATATAAGGGTCTCACTTTGTTGCCCAGGCTGGTCTTGAACAACTGGGCTCTAGTGATCCTCCCATCTCCACTTCCCAAAGTGCTGAGACTGTAGGTGTGAACCACTGCACCCAGACTGAAAATATGATTCTTATAAATTCTCAACTAAAATAAAATTATTTAAGAAAATACTGTTTTATTTATATATCTGCTATTTCTGTATGAGGGAAATTTCTAGATTAGAAAATTCATCTGTAGAATTGGCAATTATGTATTTTTCTGAATACAAAAATAATGTCACTCTCACCAGTATTCTCTGGTGTCATAAATGTTAAATATTTAGAAATCTAACTGTTAACAAGTAACGATGTGATTGGTTGGTGTAAAGAAAACTTACTGTACTCAAATGAACAACAAAATAAGAATAGAAGCAATTTCAGCTGAGCTCTTCACTGGTTGTTGCATGTCTAAAGGTGGTTTTATGTGCACCTAGGATGCCAGGTGGAAGTTGAAGCCGCATCTCCCGCATGGCCCCTCCTGCCAGGTGGCCCCTCAGATGAGAACTGCACCCAGGCCAGCACCAGCCACTCAGCCACCAGCAGTGGCCTCCACTCTGCAGTTGGCTCTCCTGCTGCAGCGCCCCAGTGGCCAGATTTGATGGCCCAGATGGCAACCACTGCAGCCGGCGTGGCTGTGGACTCTGCTGTGGGGCACACACTGGGCCATGCCATTACTGTGGAGGAAGTAATGCTGAGTCTGCGAGGCCTGACATCACTTACCAGGAGCCTCAGGGAACCAGGCTGGCACAGCAAGGGCAGCTTGCTTCCATGAGATCAGTTTTTGGAGTGTGCCCAGAACCACAGTGACATCAAGCTCTGTGAGGGTTTTAACGAGGTGCTGAAACAGTGCCGACTTGCAAACGGATTTGCCTAATCAAGAAGTTCAACCTGGAGAAATGGAAAACCAGCTCCCACAACCAACTTAATTTAGTATTAAAATATATTGATAGTGAAAGTATAAAGTGTAACATCAGTTAAACCTCTCCTGTCGTTCCTAGCTTCCTTGGTTCAGAATTGAAATGGAAGGGGTGTTCCTACTCTGTAGAATTTGGGGCTGGGCAAATGTTTGTGTGGCCTCCTTAAATTAGCTGTTATGATTTTGTTCTTTGTGAGTTAATTAGAATAAAGTGATCTTCTTCTTCTTCAAAAAAAGCAATTCCTTCCCTCCCTCCCTCCCTCCTTCCTTCCTTTTTGGTTGAGACAGAATCTTGCTGTGTTGCCAGTGCAGTGGTGCGATCTCGGTTCACTGCAACCTCTGCCTCTCGGGTTCAAGCAATTCTCCTGCCTCAGCCTCCTAAGTACCTGGGACTACAGGCACACCACCACGCCCAGCTAATTTTTGTATTTTTAGTAGAGATGGGGTTTTACCATGTTGGTCAGGATTGTCTCAATTTCTTGACCACATGATCCGCCTGGCTCGGCCTCCCAAAGTGCTGGGATTACAAGGTGTGAGCCACCACACCCAGCAGAAGCAATTTCTTCTAGGGTATAATGCTTCCTTTTTTTTTTTTTTTTTTTTGATAACAAAAGTAAGTACTGAATAAGAAAAGCAATTTTGAAAAATCCTTTTATGAACATGCCATGTTTAAGCTTTCTAATTCAGGACAACGTGTGCATTTCTGAAGATATAAATTGTCAGTTATGATAAAACTGCCACAGTCTAATCTGGGGAAAAAGACAGCATTATCACCATAACAATCTCTTTTATAGTATAATGTGCATCATGTACATGAATTTGAAAGTCAGGCAGACCTTGGCTTCTTCCTTGGTTTCTCCCTTTCCTGCTGCATAGCACATTTGAGTGACTCAGTGTCTCTCATTGTCAGGTTTATAATTTATGAAATAAGGATAATAGCATCTTTCTCCCAAGGTTATGTGAGGTTTAAATAAACCCTTGTCGAAACTCTTGTTTCACACAGCCTAGTACAGGTAAGCACTTAATACCTATTACTATTATTATTGCAAGTGTAGTACTTTATACCTTACCATGTATTTTCACATAGAATCTCTCATTTGAGAGAATAAACTCCTGGATGACAGTACAACTTTTATTACAGAACTATATGAAAATATTTAATAAGTGTGATTGTTACTGAATGTGTTCAGATGAAAAGAGAGCAGATTACATTTCCTGTGCTTTAATATAGTATCACAATGTGTTGAAGATACTATTTTTGTACTTAAATCCTATCTGACTTCAAAACCATTTAAATACATTATTTCATTTATTCACCCTTGTCAAGTTTTATCCCAGAAATCCATCTTTTATTACCACTTTACAGATGGGGAAGAGAAATGTGAAATAATTCCCTAAGGTCAGTGGGCAATCAGCTCTTTAATAAACCCTCTGTTTATGATGGAATGCTCAAAATGTGCTATGTTCTGTCAGGGTGTTGATAAATCCTGAAAATTCCAATCTTGTTTGTAAGCATTTGCATGCAGAGAAATAAAAAAGGTGTTAATCAATTGTGATGTGAAGCCTTTGGTAGCAGCCTTGCCATCCAGTCATGGCCATTTATGCCTTTAATCTCTCAGTGACCAGCAAGTGTTAAATCCATTTTTAAAAGTACCTCGTAACCTCCAACCTTAAGAAGATGAAAAATGGTTTGGGGAGCAATTAGAAGCCCCATTATATGTGGAGTAATTTTTTAATGAGATTTCCTGAAAGTACTTACATTTCACCCAAAGGTTGAGAATTCTTTTCTCTCTTTGTCTGGATGGAGTTAGGTTCTTGCCAGAAGGAAGCAAGGTAATGTTGGTAATAGTCTCAAAATGACCTATGGGAACATTCTGCTCTAGGGGCTCTTTCTAGGAGGCAAATGACAATTGCTGCTATTCTGTCACACCAAAACATGTTAGTGGTAGTGGGGACAATTTTGTATACTCAGCAAAGAGGTCTGGTTGCAATTGAGCTAATTGACAAATTTCAGTTTTTTTCTTGGGCACAAAACATGTTGTTCTAAGAGCCTTGTGGGAAAAGGCGATATATGTGGAGCTCCTATTATTCCATTCTGATTTATGTACATTGCTACTTATGAATGGCTTCCTTTTAATTAGGTGTTTAATTTAAAGCAAAACCTGTGACTATAATAGCCCCCAAAGCACAAACTTGGAACATTAACCATTTGGGGCTGGGGGCGGGGGCGAGGTGGGAATTCAGAAAGCCATTCCATCACAAGGCTATAACTGATGTACAGCATATGAAAGGATTCTTTATTATTTTATAAAATCATTAAGAAAACATGGAAAACAGCTTATACTGGTAAATAAAATTTCTTTTCCAAAATTTTAATTTTTGTTGTAAAAAAGTATATCTCAATGAATGTATTTCTTTTTAACTTTTGAGTAAAGTGAGTCGGAAGGGGTCTTTAATTTGGGTGTTTAACCAGAAAACCTAGTTTGAAGAAAAACTTCTTTCTTAATTCCTTGTTGTTTTGCAGACAGTGTGTAAATCTGAAGGCAGGATTTAGGATGAAAGCAAAAGAAAAGGGACATTGAATAATTAATGGTCATAGGAAAGAAAGAACACTCAATGGAGTTATCAGTAAATACTGATAACCCTAAGACTCTAACACACTGAAGAAAAAAAAAACACAAGGCAAACGATGCTTTAAGAGTTTATTTAACAATTCTCTACCCAGCTGAAAATTAAACCAAAAGAGTTTCATGGAGTAATTCTGAGATGCTCATAGAAGTATTAGCGAAAAGGAACTAGTCTGTTTTATACTTCATGTTCACATTTTAGAATAGCATTCTGTGATCATTTTTAATGAGAAAATAAAATATAGGTGACTTTTCCAGGAATCAATATCCTTTTTCTTCATTCTTGGTATTTTGCAGGCTGATTAATTTGCAGAGGTTGGCTTTGATTGCTGCTGAAGTAGAAAGCATTATAGATTCTCTGTTATTCTACAATACACTTGGATAAGATCTGTGGTTCTATCTCTATATATTTATCTACCTTTCCACATGGTGCTTAGTACCATAGCTCTGTGCCTCTCCTAAACACATTGTGAAAATCTATTGTGCTGAACTCTGAAGTCTCTTGCTGTGAATAGGTAACTACTCTTTTTTTCCCTCCCCTAGGAGAGCTGTTCTGTTAGGTAAAGGTAAATGAGCCAGACAAAAACAGCATTTAGAAAACAGCTTTGTGTGTGTATATGAAGGATGTTGCTGGCTGTCTGAAAGCAAAAAGGGAAGGTACTGAAGGTCAGAAGATTTATGTAATTCATATAGCAATTAAAGAAATAATGACTGAGAAAACGTGCTCAATGTGGAATGTGGGGTATTCTCCAACGCCTTAATGGCGGTTTTCGATATTCCCAGTCTTTAACACCCATTGGTGCAGGGTCTTGGTTATGGTTGTTGGCCATCAGTCAATCCTGGATAAACCTTTTTTCAGTTTCTAACAGACAGTTAAATGAATGATAGATATCATAAATCGTCTCTAAATCACCTCTTTTCAAAAGTTTGAGATAGAAATAAGACATAAAGGTATATATATTTTTAAGGTACAGTCTAGGAATATTTCTGATAGATTACTTCTTTGATCAAATATTTCTCTACATTTAAAATATTTCAGCATTAAGTGGTGGAATTATTGTAAGCCCTTTGACTTTTAAACTATAGGTATATTTATTTGAAGTTGCTTAAATATGTACATTGGGAAAAACTGGGTAAAGTTTGCATAGATCCAAAGGTTAAATTAGTTTAAATACATACTGAGTCAAGTATTATAATATAAAAATCTTTAAATACATTTGATTAATTTTTTAGTATCTAATAATATCTTATTGTACAGCATGATCAAGTGACTGTCAAAACCATGTTAAAAACGCATTTAGAAGAATCACATAACCCAGTTATATGTCAAATATATTCCTTATGCAGAAAGGAGTTCATGCTTTAATAATTATGGTGAACTCTAAATAATTAGTAGTTGTTGAAAATGTTCTTTAATTCATTGTATTTTCTGAAAAAAATGTAGCATTAAATACTTTAATATGAAGTCCATTTATAAAATAATCTGAATTCCTTCCCCGGAACAAATCCAGAATCATATTGGTGAATAAACACCATTATTGCTACTGCAAACTGCTACTTAAGAAATTTGCTCCCAATTAACCTTATAGAAAAATGAAAACCCATCTTCTAAAAATGAGCACATTTATTTCTGTGAATATGTAAATTCCTCAACCTTTCTACAATGTCAAAATAAACTGTTTTTAATCTATATTTAGAGATCAGAGTTGGGAGCAATTTCTCTATCTTTTACAAACAGCCTTGACTGCCTACTCTGAGTTCAAAACTGCCTTAAAATGTGTCATTTTTTATATACAAAAGGCATTCTAAAATTGTATTATGCAGTTATTGTGCTCAAAGAATGACCCTTGCCATGCTTTGTTTACTGAATGTCAAATTTTCATTTGTATTACAGCTGTGTACCATAGCAGTTTCGGTTTTGTATGAAGGGCAACTAATGCACAAAACAGTCAAACCACAGAGCAGTAATTAGTCTGGAAAAGATCAAAGTGTGCTCTTCTAAATCCAGCCAATTTGCTCTGGGTGTGCAAAACCAATAGTCTTTCTTTTGCTAAGGTCTCTTATTAATTTTTGCTTTCGTTTGTTGCAGAGCAGCTGCTTTACTGTCAATCCAACAACCTGCTTTAAAAAAATCCATTTTGATGCCACAAATGCAATTTCAATGGGTTTAGGAATAATAACGAGCTTTCCCCCCACCCCACTTCTAGGAGATAGAAACTTGAAATGAAAGTTTCAGCATCTGTAAAGTGAAAGTAAGCAACATAAAGCATAGCACTATTTAGATTTGTTGCTCTAGAAAAGGCCGAAGAAGGGTGATCAGTAGATGTTTCTGCTTTCAGTGCTTTTAATTAACTCTACTATATTTTGTCACTGTATGTCTGTTGCTCTCTTTTCTTCTTACTGTGAGTTCTTTTTATCCTTATGGTCACTTTGTGAATTTTCATGAAAATATTATTTAAAGCTCCACATTATTAATTAAATTCAATCCAGCTGAAAAAAACTTAAGCTGACTAAAATCTTCACACATCTCAGGATGAATACAGTAAAATAAATAGTATCACTTGCTATTTTCTTGCTGTAATTGTTATTTTTGAGTGAGTATGAAAGTGGCAGTTGAGGATGATGAATAAACCTTATCACAGGAGGTAAGTGAATAAAACTGAAGAATGAGGAAAACAGCGTAATATCATCACTTTAAATTTCTTTATCCAAGCAATAAATATTAACATGTACTAGCTGAATAAATATGTTTTTTGTATCTAGTGTTACAACAATTTTCCTGCTTTCACAATAAACTATTTCAATTTGATTCTGAACTAGTCTACTCCAAATGTGTGGCAAAACTTTGTTTTGGTGTCAATGTCACCAGCTAACCAGACATTAAGATACAGTCAAGCAAACCAAAAAGTATAATGATACACAGAGTTATTATAGCATAAAGGAACTAGCACAGTAGTTCATACCAGTAATCCCAGCCCTTTGGGAGGCTGAGGCAGGAGGACTGCTTGAACCCAGGTGTTGTTCAAGGCCAGCCTGGGCAACATAGGAAGACCCTGTCTTCACAAAAAATAAAAAACTAGCCAGGCATGGTGGCTCATCCCTGTAGTCTCAGCTCCTTGGGAGGCTGAGGTGGGAGGATTGCTTAAGTCCAGGAGATTAAGGCTGTAGAGAACCATGATTGTGCCAGTGTACTTACCCTAGCCTAAGCAACAAAGACCCTGTCTCAAAAAAAGAAAAGAAAAGAAAAAATCAGCATAATGAAGAGAAGCACATATAAGTAATTTACAAAAATTGACTTGTATACAAATGTGCAATGTCAATAAAATGACCAAATAGGTTTGTTCTGAAACATTCTCAATTGAATGGGAATTAAGTGCTTTTGAAAAGTGACAAAATGATCATACAGTGAAGTTAAGATGTTTCTTTTTTTATATATCAGGTAGAAATCAGGTATTCTTGATTTTACTCTAGACTAACCATGACATACTAAATGAACTTGGGCTTCAGGGTTCTTCATCCTCATATAATACTGCATGGTGGCTTACTAAAATCTGTTGTTAACTCCCGTAACCCCTATGATGCACCACATGCTTTTCCATTTATTATTATTTTAGGAGTCAACTCTGAAGATGATAGTAAGTGAGATGGGAGTAAATCTATACTAAAAATGAAATAAATATATGTAACCTACATTTCAGCTACTATTACATAAAGTCTGAGATTCAAAAAAAATCTCATTGCTTACCTTTCTCTAGTGTTATCTGGGCCTTAACCTAAATCTGTAAGACAATGAACATGTCATTTAGCATTTAAAATTGCCTCAGGAAATGCACACAAAAATTCTGAAAATGTTTGAAGTGAGAATTTTTTAAAAAGATATTGATGAAAATGAGAGCTCTTAGAAAATTCAAGCTGGGCATGGTGGCGCGTGCCTGTAATCCCAGCTACTCAGGAGGCTGAGGCAGGAGAATTGCTTGAACCCAGGAGGCGGAGGTTGCGGTGAGCCAAGATTGTGCCATTGCCCTCCAGCCTGGGTAACAAGCGAAACTTGGTCTCAAAAAATAAAATAAAATAAATAAAAAAGAAAATTCAATAGTCGTTTTGTTTTTTTCTAAAAAGAGAAGATAAACTAATTTGTAAACTGTATGTTGGTGGTCTCATGACCAATTATTGAGAGAGTGGTTTGTAAATCCTTGCAAAAGTAATTGTCTGTGCCAATGCAGTAAGGCAAGAAAATACAGAAAAAGTGCAAGGACTGGAAGGGAAGAGACAATATTGTCATTATTCTCAGATGATTTGACATTTCATTTTCACAGAAAACTTAACTGACAGACTATTAAAATTAATGAAGGAGTTCAGTAAGGTTGCTAGATAGAATCCAACAATAACAACAAAAATAATAGCAGAGTTCTTCTACGCTTTCACCAACCAATTAAATTACACCATGGAAAATATGACGGCTTTTATTAGAGCAACAAAACTTGAAGAATCTAGAAAGTCACTTGAAATGCAGAAAATACAGAAAAAGATTAAAACTTGATAAAAAGAGATAAAGAAGCTCTTAGAGTTTGGAACATGGTAGGCACTGAAGAAATATTTGTTGAATGAATCAATGAGTGAATGTGAATAAATGGAGAGATATGACATTCTTTCTCTCCTCTTTGTTTTTTTTTAGAGACTGTGTCTCAGTCTGTTGTCCAGGCTGGAGTGCGGTGGAACAATCATAGCTCACTGTAGCCTCAAACTCCTGGGCTCAAGCAATCCTCCCGCCTCAGTCTCATAAAAAGCTGAGATTACAGGCATGAACCAGTGGGCCTGGCTGTCATTCTCATAGATGGGAAAGTGAACTTTGTACAGCCCTTATTTATTTGTTTTTTAATGTTAGTTCCAATATGGTGGGAGAAAATGAAAGGGGAAGAAACAATATTGGGAATGTGGTATAACAATAACAAAAAGTAAAAATAAAAATAGGGCTGGGCGTGGTGGCTCACGCCTGTAATCTTAGCACTTTGCGAGGCTGAGGTGGGCGGATCACCTGAGATCAGGGGTTTGAGACCAGCCTGGCCAACACGGTGAAACCCCCATCTCTACCTAAAATACAAAAATTAGCTCGATGTGGTGGCACATGCCTGTAATCTCAGCTACTCTGGAGATTGATGCAGGAGAATCGCTTGAACTCAGGAGGTGAAGTTTGCAGTGAGCCAAGATCACACCACTGCACTCCAGCCTGGGCAACAGAGTGAGACTTTGTCTCAAATAATAAAATAAAATAAAAGACATGCAGGTACTGATGGTGATAGGGTGCCATGAGCCAATAAATTTCATAGCGTGT